CCTGCAGGCCTGATCGCCCACAACTGCCCTTCCTTGCAGGCCTGGTCTCTCCCAACTGCCTTCCCCTGCTGGCCATCTTGTGGTGGCCATCTTGTGTCCACATGGGGGCAGCTATCTTGTGTGATGGAGTGATGGTCAATCTGCATATTACTCTTTTATTAGATAGGATAGAAGCCTGGTGCATGGGTGGAGGCCAGCTGGTTTGCCCTGAAGGGTGTCCCGGATCAGAGTGAGGGTTCTCTTGGGGCATAGAGTGCCCTGAGCGAGAGGTCTGTGGTGGTTTGCAGGCCAGCCACGCTCCCTGGCAACCCAAGCAGAGACCCTGGTATCTAGAATTATTTACCTTCTACAATTGAAACTTTGTAGCCTGGAGCAAAGCCAAGCCTTCTGCTTGCTCCAGGGCAGCAGCTGCTTCTGTTTGGATATTTTACCTTCTATAATTGAAACTTTGTAACCTTGATTGGAGGCTTAGGCTGGCTAGTTCAGGCGGAAAGCTTTGCTTCCTCTATTGCCTGGGAAACCCAAGCCTCCCTCCTGCTCTCTGTGGCTGTAGCCATCTTGGATGGGTTTATTTGCATACTTGCTCTAATTGGCTGGTGGACATGGCTTGTGAGTGTAACGGAGTGATGGTTAATTTACATATTACTCTTTTCTTAGGTAGGATAGTATTCCATTGTGTAGATGTACCACAGATTTTTAATCCACTTATCTGCTGATGGGCACTTAGGCTCTTTCCAAATCTTAGCTATTGTAAATTGTGCTGCTATGAACATAGGGGTGCATATATCCTTTCTGATTGGTATTTTTAGTTTCTTGGGATATATTTCTGTAAGTGGAATCACTGGATCAAATGGGAGTTCCATTTTTAGTTTTTTAAGGAAACTCCATACTGTTCTCCACAGTGGCTGTACCAGTCTGCATTCCCACCAGCAGGGCACGAGGATTCCTTTTTCTCCACATCCTCACCAGCACTTGTTGTTTGTTGATTTGTTGATGATTGCCATTCTGACAGGTGTGAGATGGTACCTTATTGTTGTTTTAATTTGCATCTCTTGGATGATTAGTGACTTTGAGCATGTTTTCATATGTCTGTTGCCTTCCTTATGTTCTTTTTCAAAAAGTATCTATTTAGATCTGTTGCCCATTTTTTGATTGGGTTGTTTATCTTCTTTTTGTTAAGTTGTATGAGTTCTCTGTAAATGTTGGAGATTAAACCCTATGGGAGATAACATTGGCATATGTTCTCCCATACAGTGTACTTTCTTGTAGGTTTTTTTGATGGTTTCTTTGCTGTGCAGAAGCTTTTTATTTTGATGTAGTCCCATTTATTTATTTTCTCTTTAGTTTCCATTGCCCTAGGAGTTGTATAGGTAAAGATATTTATTTAACATATGTCTGATATTTTGCTGCCTGTGGATTCCTCTAGTATTTTCATGGTTTCCCATCCTATGTTTAAGTCCTTTATCCAGTTTGAGATGGTTTTTGTGTATGGTGTCAGTTGGTGGTCTAGTTTCATTTTTTTTGCATTTATCTGTCCAATTTTATTGAAGAGACTGTCTTGACTGCATTGTATGCTCTTGCATCTTTTGTCAAATATTAATTGAGCATAGTGTTTTGGGTCAAGTTCTGGGTTCTCTATTCTATTCCTTTGGTCTATATATCTGTTCTTGTGCCAGTACCAGCCAGTTTTGAGAACAGTGGCTTTGTAATACAATTTGATATCTGGTATTGAGATCCCACCTACTTTGTTCTTGTTTCTTAGGATTGCTGCAGCTACTCGGGTTCTGGCTCTTTTTTTATTCTAGAAGAATTTTTGGAGAGTTCATTCTAGATCTGTGAAATAAGCATTGAATTTTAATGGGGAGTGCATTGAATCTATAGATTGCTTTGGTAGTATGAACATTTTAATGATGTTGATTTTACCAATTCATGAACACGGTATGTTCTTACATCTGTTTCTGTTTTCCTCTATCTCTTTTTTCAGTGTCCTGTAATTTTCCAAGTACAAGTATTTTACCTCCTTAATTAAGTTTATTCCTAGTATCTTAATTTTTAGGTGCAATGATAAATGGGATTGTGTGTTTTTTAACCTCTCTTTCTGTAAGTTCACTATTGGTGTATAAAAGTGCCATAGATTTCTTGGCGTTAATTTTGTACCCTGCTACATTGCCAAATTCATTATTAAGTCTAATAACTTTTTGAAGGAGTCTTTAGGGTTTTCTATGTATAGTATCATGTCACCTATGAATAATGACCGTTTTATGTCTTCTTTTCTAATTTGGATACCTTTTATTTCCCTTTTTTGTCTAATTGCAATGGCTAATACTTCCGGTACTATGTCGAACAAGAGTGGTGAAAGTGGACATCCCTGTCTTGTTCCTGTTCTTAGGTGAAGTGGTTTTAGTTTTGCCTATTGAGTATGATGTTGGCTGTAGGTTTGTCCTATAAGGCTTTTATTATATTGAGATATGCTCCCTCTATTCCCACTTTGCTGAGGGTTTTTATCAAGAAAGAGTGATGGATTTTTTTCAAATGCTTTTTCTGCATCAATTGATATGACTGTGATTTTTATCTCTTAATTAGTTTATGTGATGTATCACATTTATTAATTTGCAGATATTGTACCATCCTTGCATCCCCAGGATAAATGCTACTTGGTCATGGTCTTTCTGATGTACTGCTGGATCTGATTTGCTAGAATTTTGTTGAGGATTTTGGCATTTATGTTCATGAGGGAACTTGACCTGTAATTCTCTTTCTTTTTTGAGCGAGTAGAAGAAGTGGAGAGACACATTTATGTGTGACATTGATTGGTTGCCTCTGCATGTAATTCCCAAGCAGGGCCGGGATCATGCCTGTAATGGAAGTGAATTCCCTTGACTAGAATCAAATCCTGGATCCTCAGTCCTTGGGCCCATACTCTATCCATTGAACCATAACAGCTACGGCTGTTAGCTGTTTTTAATTCTACATTTGAAACTAATATTCAGAGTTTCAGTAATACTGATTACTTTTTGGCTGCTTACTCACCAGATATACCTGATCGCCTGAAAATTTTTGTGTGGTCAGTGAAGGAGATTAACATATTTTTAAATCCACAAGAAAAAATATTGTTAGTTGTTACAAGTTTGGCTTGATTAATAAATGCATAATTTCCTTGATAACTGAGAAAATAGTTCTCACTCTACTACTGCTCTATTGTAGCTAACACTATCCCATATTTATAATATTAATATATACTAAGTGAATATTATAACTTTATATTTGTTTAATTTTCACAAGGGAAATCTGGCTTTCAAATATGACCTCTTAAAAGATATAGATATTTCAAGGAAAGTTGGTCTGGTCCTTCAGAGTATAAGATTCAAAATCAAATTGAGATTACAGTGAGCCAACTCAAAATCAGGGTTGTAGAATTAACTTTGTGTAATGGTCTTGGGTCATATACAGCATTTATCGTACTATCTATACTAATAATAGAGGAATATGAAAATTGTCCAGGATGCCATCACAGTAACAGTAATAACCACCAGGTTGTGGGTGGATGACCAGGCCAGCAGGGGAGGGGTGACTAGGCTGGTAGGGGAGGGCATTTGGGGGTGACCAGGCCAGAAGGGGGCAGTGGCGGCGATCAGGTCACAGGCAGAGGCAGTTAGGGGCAATCAGGCTTGCAGGCAGAGGTGATCAGGGGTGATCAGGCTGGCAGGCAGGTGAGAAGTTATGAAGCAGTAGTCTTGGATTGTTAGAGTGATGTCCAACTGCCAGATATCCGACCGGCAGTCAGATATCCCCCAAGGGGTCCCATATTGAAGAGGGTGCAGGCTGGCCTGAGGGGACCCTCCTCCCCAATGCACAAATTTCATGCACCAGGCCTCTAGAGTTATTATAATTATACACCAACTGCCCTATAACATTAATGTAACTCTAAATTAGGGAGAGGAACATGGACTTAGAATAGGATGAAACTCTTACTATTTCTGTGACTTTTACCAAATTACTTAACACTCTGATCTTTGCTTCTTCAACTCTAAAATGGAAGTAATATTTCTACTTTTAGAATCTCATAGCTACAGAATCTTGCCCTTACAATACTTTCATTAGTTGCTACCATTCATTCTTAAAAAGTGAGTTTCCTCCAATTTGCTATCTGTCCCCAAATAAAATTGTTTGCATTTTGCCATCTTTTTTTTTTTCAGTGTGTAGACTTATAGATGCACATGCTTTTAAAAGATCATTTAGTTATATTAAATCATGTTAAAATTTATCTCTACTAAAAGGAAAAAAATACATTTGTATGAAATTTTTTTGTTGTGTTGGTAACTTGAATTAATTGAATGTAACTTGCATTTTATATCTATAATATGAATAGTTTTGCTGGAATTTTTAAAATTGTGACTACCTAAAATGATACTGTTTCAGAGACGTGGCATTTTGAACCTCAAAGAGAATTGAGTTGATTTTATATGACAAAATATTGCTGAGAACTTCACAGGTATAATCAAGTCAGAGAAATAAATGTTTACTCCATATTTTTATATACATATCTACCCTAACATTGCAAATTAAAGCTGCCTTAAATGACATCTAGATAAATTTTTATCTTTAGAAACCTTTTATTGTTTCAGGACCTGCATAAAGTTTCAGTCTTCGTGCACGTTTTATTTGCCTTTTAACCAATCACAACCCTGGGTTACTGTAGTAATATATCTTAGCTACTGCCCTGTATTGCTCCCTCCCTTAGCTACAGTTACGTTGTGGCTTTAGGTTTCTCATTATTTTTCACTCTTTTTAACCGTGAAGTCGGTGGTAACACTGAGCCATTTGTAACACAGAGCGACACATGAGAGATGTTAGAGATTTTGAGTTGGAGTAAAAATAAGTGAAGACTACTGCTATCTGTTTTCAAACGCTTACATTTTAATTCAGGTGTTTGTGTTGTAACCATGCAACCTCCTGTGGTAAAAATGACTGACTGCTCTTTTTTCTTACGCTCCTTTAAGCAAAGTAAAGCCACAGTTCGGCTGAAAGAAGACATGAAAAAGATAGTGGCAGTGCCACTAAGTGAGCAGAAGAATTCTACCTATAAAAAGTTATTTGGTGTCAGCCTCCAAGACCTTCAACAGCAGGGACTCACTGAGAATGGCATTCCGGCGATAGTGGGGAATATCGTGGAGTACTTGACAAAGAATGGTAAGTCAAGTCTTATTTTCACGATGGTTTACAGTTTTCACATACAGCATTAAGTAATTACTATGAGCAATCACTTTAATTATTGAGGTTTCTAGTGTGGAATGATATCTAGTTTTAAATGCTGAAACACACTGTTTTGATACTAATAGTTCAATTGATAGTCAATACATTTTATTTTATTTTTTAAAAATATATTTTATTGATTTTGTACAGAGAGGAAGGGAGAGAGACAGAGAGTTAGAAACATCGATGAGAGAGAGTCATCGATACAGCTGCCTCTTGCACACCCTCTACTGGGGATATGCCCGCAACCAAGGTACATGCCCTTGACAGAAATCGAACCCGGGTCCCTTCAGTCCCCAAGCCGACGCTCTATCCATTGAGCCAAACCGGTTTCTGCTGATAGTCAATACATTTTAAAAGAAGAGAGAACTCGCTTTGGTTTCTGTCAACTGAGGTCAATCATGAATTCATTGGATACCTTGATTGCCTTCCTAAGCTCAGTGGAAATAGCAAAGATAAATAAATAATAGAAGTAGTATGTGTAGCCTATTATGGGGTGTTAACTACTTTTGAAGTGATAAAATTAAGCATGTAAAACCATTGAAGAGTAACATATTACATTGCATGATAAAAAGATAAATTATCTCTCTTCATTTTTGAGAGCTATAGTGCCTTATAGTTATAATTTTATGTAAAGCCTGGATAATATGAAAAAAAAATTACTTTATATTCCCTACATTCATGCTTTCAAACTACAGCAGTATGATAAGAGAATGGCAAACTATATAATAAATATCAATACACTCTAAGAGATTTGGGAGGGAAATATTCCAAGGGAGAACTTGGAATTTTCATCATTTTCTATACTGAAAAAGCCTTTCTGTACCTAAAACAAGATGAATTACAAAAATAGAGTGTAAAGTTTGTGAGGAGTTTTAAAAGTTAAACTTGAAAGTTCAAAGAAATTCTGTACTTTTGCAATTTGCTTCAGCCCCCATATCTTCCCATGATTACAAGGCCACTCCCCCTGCAAAGAAGAATCCTTCATTGCAAATGCTTGAGAAGCACCTTGCATTTGTTCCTCTATAGCAGTGGTTCTTAACCACTAATGCTGCGACCCTTTAATACAGTTCCTCATGTTGTGGTGACCCCCAACCATAAGATTATTTTTGTTGCTACTTCATAACTGTAATTTTGCTACTGTGAATGAATCGTAATGTAAATATCTGTGTTTTCTGATGGTCTTAGGCTCTACAGCAGTGCCTCTCAATCTGTGGGTCGCGACTCTTGCTTTCTAATTTTTTTCTCCAATTGCTGTTCATATTGGGTGTGATTTTTTTTTGTCCTTTCTTCTAATTCACTAATTTAGTCCTTCACTTCTTCTAGTCTACAGCTGAAATCTTCCATTTTGTTTTTATTATTGTAGCTGTATTGCTTTTTATTTCCTCTTTATTCTTACATAAGTTGTTGGTTTTCTCATCATCTGGTTTATGAACTGTATGGCCCTTATTTTGAATTCTTTTTCTGACATATTGCATTACTCTGTTTCATTTAGTTCCTTTTTAAAAAAAAGTAATGCCTCCTTTTCTTTCCTTTGGGGGTTGTTTCTTTATCTCCCCATTTTTGCTGCTCTTACTGGCCCTAGGCTCCCTGCTTGGGATCTGAAGGGTTGAAGCCCCTAACAGTCCAATGGTCCTGGACTTTCTAATACCAGGGCCTTGGTCTGCCTTGAGTTTCACACCTTTATTGCCTCACCTCTGAATTGTTTCCCCTTCTCACATGGTTCTGGTCCCTCCATTTCTCAGGGTTGGCAAAGACGGGTGTACAGTTTCTCTGGTGTATGACTCTGTGAGGCCCCATAGCCCCCTGGCATGCATTTTGTTGTGCAGATCCAGCTGCTAAGGATGGATGTACTCTAGGTCCCTCTGGAAGTGCTCTTGCAGTGTGGTCCTGTGACCTCTGGCTAAGCACACCAAGTTGCACCAGCAGTTCTGACCCCAGCTGGGGGTTAGGGTATGTGCCAGGTGACAGCTCTGCTTGTGATGGGTGCAGAATACACACAGACCACACATAGACCAAAGGCTCTGTCTGGGCTAGGGCATAGCACACACTGGGCTGTGGCTGTGGCGGTGCAGGATGAGTACCAGCCAAAGGGTCTATCTGTGCCGAGGGCAGGGTACTTGCCGGGCAAGGGCTCTGTCTGGGAAGGGGTGTAATATGCACCCAGCTGTGGTTCTGTATTGGGATCAGGCATGCAGTGGGAAATAGGGAGTGGGGTTCCTGTGGCTTGCACTCACAGCATGGGGACCTGAAGCACAAGATCTTGGAACACTGGGTCTGGGCTCTGGCTAGGAGGCACAGCTTGGCGATCTCTCTAGTGTGCTCTCACTGCAGATAACTAGGACCCATGTCATGGAACTATGCTGCTCACTGCTAGGGCACCATAGTGATTCCACGTGGGTTATGGCTGGCAAGAAGCTCCTTGCTCAGGTCCATGAGTGCTGTCCTCGGTCAGTCTGGGTGTTGGTGCTGCAGTACTCCTGGCCTCCATTGCTCCCCTCTTCAAGATGGTGTGGGTTTTCTGCCAAAGCCAAGCTGTCCTAGGGGTGCTCACGGCATAACTGGGATTCCCCTTCTTTGACAGCTAATCTGCTTGTCCCTGCAACTCCTGAGATATCTGTCCCTCACTCACCCACACACAAACTACACACATCCACTGACACCTCTTTCACTGCTTTACTGTGTCATACTCCCTTCCTCCCTGCAGTCCTGTGGGCCGCCATGTTTGGGTACTGATTCTTGCCAGTCTTTTGCTGTCTACAAAGATGCAGTGACTTAAAAAAAAATTTTTTTTGCATATATGGAAATTTCTTTACACTTACATTTCATTATTTTCTTTAGCTATGTGCTTTATTCTTTTTTAAGTGTGTCATTTCAAGCACTGTAAGTATACTCATAGACTAACTTTCTAGAAGTGGACTTCTGAGTCAAAGGATATGTGCATTTATAATTAATACTAGAAGATTTGATCCAGTTTATATTCCCATCATCAAAAAAAGAAAATTTGGGTAAAATCTGAATTAGAGATTTTTTTTCTTCTTTCCCTTACCATGTCCTTAGTTACTCTCTAATAGGGTATATTCAGGTAATTCAAACTAAATGTTTTAGTGGGCAAAATCAGTCATTCTTAACTAGGGATGTGAAGTATCGATAGAATCACTACTGGTATCTCTTGCAAGGGTGGTATCTCTGGTCTACTGAATCAGAATCTTGACTGGGCCAGCTAGGAGAGGTTATCTACACAATCATTTCAAAAGGTTGTATAGTTCACTAATATTTACACAACCAGGAATCTTTATTGCATTTGAAATTATCATTTTAATAAACCAAAAAGCCTATGTAAGTTTGAAGGGTGGTATATGTTTAAGGGCATGGTACTTTTTATTTAGTTATTGTGTAGCCTTTTTCAAGTCAACAAGTATTCATTTTACAGCGGTGAGTAGACACTCTATATCAGGTATGAGATATAAGGAGATTAGTCATGATAATTTAACCAATGGTATATACTGTGGTCATAGTTTGTTGTTTAATTAGATACAGATATTTAACAACTTGACATGAAGGGAACTCTTACTATAAAGGAATTTGGGACAGAAGAGGTTTATTAAGGCCTATATCAAACACACTTTTTTACTTTAAAAAACACATTTTTTTTTTTTAGATTAAAGGAAAATCTTATAAGTTATAAGGTATATCATCTTTAAACTAACTAGTTTTAAAATAACTAGTTTTCCTGACAGTTACTAGATGCCTTCCCTTTAGCATGAAGATACTGTGTGATGTCATTTTAAGTAGTGTATGATTCTGCACTCACCACCAGATGTCAGAATGTGCTTACATATTGTTATATTGCTTCCTGGGCCAAAGTGTTCCAATTAGGCAAATTCTGACTTTGGCATATTTAGTTTATAATGATGATATGTTCAAACTATTTTATAATAAATATTGCAGTTGTACAAAAAAGTAGATGTCAGTGGTGTAGATAGATGTTAATTAGGTTGTATGATCATTATTAAATTGATGTTCTATGATGCTTAATCCATATCTCCTGAAATGAAATTTAACAAAATTTCAGAAATGTATGAGAATAATGCCACTAAGTCTTCCAGATATCTCCTTCTTCTGAACATTTAAGTTGTAATTATCATTTTCTAAAAATTTAGAGTAGGAAAATTTAGAGATTATTTAGTCTGGTAAGCCTCATATGGGCATTAGATATAAGTTCAAAAAGAGTTTTGTTTAAAAAAAAACACACCAAAAAACTGTTTTGTCTGTTCCCTTCCCCCCCTTCCAGAGTGGATATAGACATGACCAGAGATAAACTTCTCCTGCTTGAAAATTAAGTATTCTAAAAGTTGTTTGGGTGAGAGATGTTCCTGAGGGACAAGTTGTGCAAATAAATAGAAACAAAAACGAATGGTTGAGAATCATTTTAACTTAGATTCCTTCCATTTATAACTTGTCTTCATTAGTAATGTCTAGTGGGATCACAAACCTTGAAAACCAAAGCCAGTTCTTAGAACTGATGGTTATTTTGGAGTAACTGGAAGTATATTTATCTGAGGGAAGGGTCACAAAACCTTGTTGGAAGTGAAATCTAACCCAGGGGGCATTTGCTAGGCCAAAAATAAGCCCAGGAGCTTAGTAAATACAGGACTATGATGAAGAATTCTAAATTTTCAGGATTTGGGCCTTGAATAGGAATAGTATTCTCCTTTATTAGAGTGCTCTCTGCTCGGTGCCAGTATACATTTTTGTGTTACAGATGAAGCTTTGTGGAGTAGAGGAAACAGACATGGAATGCTTTCAAAATGACATGCTAAAGTCTTCCAATAGTAACTGATATTTTGCAGCATTAACTAATATGATATGCCATTCCTTTTGTCTGATACTGAATAATAGATTATCCCCAAATGTAGCAGAGTAAAATAATAATG